ATGGAAGACCACTCTATCCAGTTACACAAATTTCTTTTTTTTGTGAGAGTGCCTTTTACCTGAACATCCTCAAGTTTCAACCTAAACTGTTGAAAATATTTTAAATTTACATTTTTCGCTTATCATGAATCATTCATGTAATATTAGAAGTCAAAAATGTGATTTCTAAACATAAACATAATTAAAAGTATTTCTTTTGTTTCTTTTCACATTTGAGGAACTATACTCTCTAAACTCAAACATGCATGATGTTGAAAAGTTTAAAAACTAGAAATACTTCATGGCTATCAACTACATTTGATCTTATTACTAAAGCTGAAGCTAAATGCAAGGAGGACTTAGAAGACTATTAATTTTAATATCGGTTACAATAAAATGTAATCAAAGACTCTCAAAGACATATCGCCATATTCATATTATTTTTTACCAAATATTAAACTTGAACACTGCATTCATAATAACCTTGAGCTCATTTCAAGACTTAACTTTTTCAATCCCAATTCACTTTTACAAATTGTAGGCTATCAAAACATATTGCATTCAACCCATGCAGGTTTGGGGAGAAAAGGCCTGCTGTATCCCACTGCATGATCGTAAGAGGCGACTAATGTTGGACCCCTGCAGAATATTTTTGTTAAAAAGATATACAAGATGATTTTATTTCAGCACAGAAGCAACTCATAAAACCATTGTACTTATTTGACCTTGTATTACTCGTGCATCATGACCTCATACTAATCATAACCTCGTACTCATCATGACCTCATACACATCAAGACCGTGTACTCATCATTAGCCTATACTCATCATAACCTCATACTCATCATAACCTCATACACATCATGACCTCATACTCATCATGATCTTGTACTCATCATGACCTTATACACATCATGACCTCATACTCATCATGACCCTGTACTCATCATGACCTCATACACATCATAACCTCATACACACCATGCCCTCGTACTCATCATAACCTCATACACATTATGACATTGTACTCATCATAACCTCATACACACCATGACCTTGTACTCATCATGACCTCATACTCAACATGACCCTGTACTCAACATGACATTGTCCTCTTCATGACCCTGCACTCATCATAACCTCATACACATCATGACCTCATACACATCATGACATTGTACTCATCATAACCCTGTACTCATCATGACCTCGTACTCAACATGACATTGTACTCATCATGACCCTGTACTCATCATGACCTCGTACTCAACATGACATTGTACTCATCATGACCTCATACTCATCATGACCTCATACACATCATGACCCTGAACTCGTCATGACCTCATACACATCAAGACCGTGTACTCATCATGACCCTGTACTCATCATGACCTCATACACATCATGACCTCATACACATCATGACCTCATACTCATCATGACCCTGTACTCATCATGATCTTGTACTCATCTTGACCTCATACTCATCATGACCCTGTACTCATGATGACCTCATACTCATCATGATCTTGTACTCATCTTGACCTCATACACATCATGACCCTTTACTCATCATGACCTCGTTCTCATCATAACCTCATACATATCATGACATTGTACTTATCATAACCTCATACTCATCATGACCTCGTATTCATCATAACCTCATACACATCATGACCTCGTACTCATCATAACCTCATACACATTATGACATTGTACTTATCATAACCTCATACACATCATGACCTTGTACTCATCATGACCTCATACACAACATGACATTGTACTCAACATGACATTGTACTCATCATGACCCTGTACTCATCATAACCTCATACACATCATGACCTCATACTCATCATTACCCTGTACTCATGATGACCTCATACTCATCATGATCTTGTGCTCATCTTGACTTCATACACATCATGATCTTGTACTCATCTTGACCTCATACACATCATGATCTTGTACTCATCTTGACCTCATACTCATCATTTTGTACTCATCTTGACCCCATACTCATCATGACCCTGTACTCATGATGACCTCATACTCATCATGATCTTGTACTCATCTTGACCTCATACACATCATGACCCTGTACTCGTCATGACCTTGTACTCATCATTTTCTTGTACTCATCATGACCTCATACACATCATAACCTCATACACATCATGCCCTCGTACTCATCATAACCTCATACACATTATGACATTGTACTTATCATAACCTCATACACATCATGACCTTGTACTCATCATGACCTCATACACAACATGACATTGTACTCAACATGACATTGTACTCATCATGACCTCATACTCATCATTATCTTGTACTCATCATGACCTCGTCCTCAACATGACCTCGACCTCATCATGACCCTGTACTCATCATGACCTCATGTATACTTGTCATTATTTTCTTATCTTCTCTATATCATGACTAGTGTCTTCAGCTTAATGGTTTCCGGAGGAAATTACAGTTTTGCAACCATTAACTTCCAAATTAAATTATCATAATTCAGTATTGAAAAGGCAGTCGATTCATTATGTATTTATTCGTTTTAAATGAACAGCCGTACTGTCTACATATGCTAAATCAGAATGCATTCAAGCATAGATAACTAGGTTTCAAATATGTTTCCCAAAAGATTATCATAAACTTAAACAAACATTGTAAGTTTGTTGGATAATTTGCAACATTCTTATTTAACAATTCTGTATAGCAACTTCGCAATATTTACAAATAGTAAAAGAATTAACACTAGATCTGTATGACTAAGAAAACCTATATAAACCACACTAAAATCTTGATACATGTACTGAAACTTCCATGTAATTTGAATCTGTTTAACCAGAAAACCTGTCTATTCTAAATGGAAACATAAATTGCCCATGACATGTTTCTTTTACACAGGTTTCACTGTATATAAACAATGTATCATACAACAGAAACTGTCTAGACTGAAACCCTTGTTATATGAAACCTAATATACACAAGCACAACATCACCTTAGACACATAGTTTCTATTTTATAGCAACTGGGCCAACTTGCATAAAACATCTCAACTCTTGAGATTTCCTCAAGTCTAAGATTTCCCATAGACAATACATTGCTTGAGATTTTCCTTAACTTTGAGATGTTTTATACAAGTGGGCCCAGAAGCTGTAAGAACTAAAAACTTGTCTAATCTGAACAGAAATGTTGGTTCCTCTGTATACAAAGGTAGACAAGTTATCCCGTTCTTGTTGTACAGTTTTTTCATCGATACTTTCTGCACATACTAGCTAGGTGCCTATGACAAACAGGATCTGCTCGTTTGATCGCGATATGTTTGAAATGAATTACCATATTTATACACTAACAGGACCAATGTGTTCATCTTATTAAACCTTTTTTTTTGTTTCCTATGACACAGGTAAAATTTTACAAATACGCTGTTTACATAGTTTTCCAGTTTACACAGGTAAATCTTAAAGACAAAATCTGGTTTATACACGTTTCCAGTTTATACAGGTTTATTTTACAGACAATATCTGGTTTATACAGGTTTCCAGTTTATACAGGTATATTTTACAGACAAGATCTGGTTTATACAGGTTTCCAGTTTATACAGGTATATTTTACAGACAAGATCTGGTTACACAAGTTTCCAATGTATACAAATACATAGGTATGGCTTATAGCTTATACAGGGTACAATTTACGTAGTAAGCTTATTTAAGGCTGTTTAATGACAAACAATTTCATTTCTGAAATCTTTCAAAAATTACCAATATTTTGCATGGCTATACATATCTGTATAAGGTAGGGGTGCAACTCGGTTTTTAGAGGGGGAGGGGGGGGTTATATTATCTGGATATGTGTTTTAGTACAGGCGGACATTTTATGCATAACACTGATTATGTTTACTGATGATCTATTACATACGTTCATATCTACAGAAAAAGGACAGGGGGGCCAGTCAGATTAAAACAACCATAAATATACACCTGGTACATGCAGGATAGGACATTAAAGTCTTAGGTCACCATATCTACATACATGTGAAGTTCCAATTACATATCTACTGAATTAGATAAAGGATTAACCTTGCCGGTGTATATGTGTTAACTTTAAGCACCCAGAGAAATGGTCATTATACAGATTCTAATCTTACCCCAATACAATACAAAAAGCATTGCATAACGATACTTCTCCCCAAACAGTGCCTGTGGCTATAGGTATTCAAGCCCATTACACAATACCCAAACAACAACCTCAAAATCTCTCAGGTACATCTGAAAGAGAATTTAGGGTCTATTGGTATAATCATAATCCGCCCGTATTCATTTCAAACAAGTTTTTATTAATACCACCCTCATACCGCTACAAATGGAAGAGTTACAAAAAATATGTCCCTGTGCGTGTTGTTATGTCATTTTCTTTTTCAATACTAAAACGTGAAATGTAAACAAACAAGAAATTATATATATCACCCCGCCCTGTACAGAAACCGAATAAGTGTTTGACACACAGTTATAAGTATATGAGCTTTAGGGTGGATATTTGTTCGAGACTTTCGACATACTCGTACGATTGGGCTGGGTCCAACTTAAGTAACGTGTGTGTGTCATCGGCTACTAGTTAACACCCCTCCCAACCGTATTGTCATATGTACCTGTTAAATGACCGAGATCCTGAACTATGGTTTTAATCCCGATAGCCACGGTCTATGAACCTTTTACCTAGATTATCAACCGACTAGATCTCCACTCGGAATTGCCATTCTATAAACACCAGGTATCAAGTTAACGAGAAATTGTTTAAAATCACTTAATTATAAGGCATGAACATGAATTGCATTTCGTGATAAGCCATATATATATATATTGAGTAGTATTTAATAAATTGAGATAAACGAGGCTCCGTCTAAATGCCTTATATATATACAAAACACATACATCACATGTATTTAACTACCTGTAGTATATACATGGCTAACGAGCATAAATCCAACACTCACCACCTGCATGAAAAATTAGTCCATAAATCAATTTGTGTCTTCCTTTAAGTGGCGAAATTTAATCCGAGTAGAAAACAATATTTACGTCACCAACTGATGTTGTATTTCTCTGCATAGACTGACCAAGAGGGTCATGCAGTCTTTCAGCTGACCACAGGAGGGACATTGATACACACACATTTACCTATAGGTATCATATATGCCCAAGCGATTTCCGGGGGCCGATCTGATCCTGGTTATATAGCCTGTATATACACAGCGTACACATGGAGCTACAATACACACAGTAGGTATACCGGTTTGGAGTCTTTTCTTTACATTTAGCTCATTTGCATGACAATGAGCGGAATTTCAACATGGGCGAGTTTATAACTCAACAAACCCCCCTTGGCTGAACCTATATACATAACCACAGGTGAAAATCATATATATATATATATATGTATATACTAACAAATAAGTCATATATATATATATGTATATACTAACAAATACATCATATATATACTTATGTATATACTAACAAATAAGTCATATATATATACACACAAACCTTTCACCTATCTTGTCAAAATAGATTTCAGGTCAAATTTTTATGCAAATCTTACGTCAAATATTGAAGCTCAAACGTTTCTTTAAAACGTTCAATAGCGAAATCACGAATAAAACTCACAGGTGTTAAGGGAAGATTCCAACCAGAACAGATTTTTTTTTGATAGAAAAAAAAAAGGTATTAACCCCGATCTTCTGAACGCTTTGAACTCTCGTAGTGTTTCAATGCTTCAATGATCTACCTGTGAGAATAAAACTTGCTTTGAATAAAACATGAATGACCACGGTCAAACCCCCACCGTTCACCAGACGGCTGAAACCTGGCCATTCAGGTGAAGCAATAGGGTGGCCTGTTATTATGGACACTTCAGACCTTCCGGCCGGGCCCTTTATGCTCTGCTGTACTTGTCGCAGATTGCATAAAAAAAACTCATTCTTAAATATATACATGAATTATGAAATTAAGCATTTTTACACATTTTTTCAATGCTAATCCCTAGACTAGCTTCAGCTTAAGGGTTGAACCCTCACACTTTTTAAGGTTGGTCATTTAATTGACAGATTCACAACTGAAAATAGATCCCTATTTTAATTGCCACTTTGTCACGACAAACCCCCAAATATAGCCAAAAAAACACCTCTATTTAGTTTTGTAAACTAGTGTCTTTTAAGAAAGTTAAATTTCATAACATTTTGTCACTATATATTCTACATCCATATGATATATTTATCAACTGTTGAAAATTTTCACAATTTTCCTAGTTTTGTTTTAAGCTTTTTCCAAACATGGACCCAAGATCTGTTTTTGTCAATATGAACCATATTAATTATATGAGTCTAAAAATATTTAATGTATGATAATTATTTTTTTTAATTAATTAAACCTTGCCAAAATATTTGACATGTCATGTTCATCAACGATATATATGTAATCGGTATAAAATATAATGATATTTAACGACATCAATTAATTCATCCAGGTTTATATACATGAGTGCGATGTTTTCATTAAATATGCCGTGAGCTAGCCCACATTTCAGACTGATGGCCATATGAATACTGTATATGTATACTTGCTAACTCTCCCTATTGCGGACGGAGGGAGACCCCCAAATTTGGACCCTGAAATTGAACATTTCCATGAATTTGCCAAATTTGGACCCTGAAATTGAACAGTAATTTTCATGAATTTGCCAAATTTGGACCCTGAAATTGAACATTTTCAACCAGTGAATTTGCTAAACATCTTATATTGTAATATCTGATGATAATATATCATCTCTAAGAACAACTCAAAAGATGTCAAAGAAAGTACTACTTTTTTATATTTGAACCCAGGACCTCAAATTTGTATACTGGCACTCTTAACTGACTGAGCTCCCAGCTGGCCAAGAGAAGGGTTCTGGCCCAAGTGAATTCAAAATGAAATTCATGGGAGGTTACTGCATGTATATACAGAATCATTAAAACACATTTTGCTTTTGCACCAGGAGACTTCCATTTAATCATATGTACATTAATTCAAAGTATCAAGTATTCTATGTTTAAAACATAAACTGGAGTTATAGACACAAGATTTGCGGCTGAAGATTTGGTTTCTCATTGAAGAAACTTCCTTACCATTTAACTCAATTCACCCCTGAAATTTCCTAATGAACTATTCCAACCTTTGAATTGGAAGGGTTCAAATGTGCCTTCAGGGGTGAATAAGTTAATAATTAAAAATATGCCCGTATATCAAGCATGTGTTTTCTACTGACCAAACAAGATGACATTATTACTTATTCGGGAAATTATAGTTCCTAATTTATGTTAAAGTAGTGTAAATTGCCAGGAAATGTATCTAAGCTGGCAAACCTTCTATTGCCCACATACAAACCAATGTATTTACCATAAAATGTTAAGTACATTTCAACCTTACAATTGTTTCAAATCCACAACTGTTTCTGTTGATAGAGAATTACCATAGTTAACGTAAAACAGGACCCTGGAATCAATTAAACACTACATCTCTGTCTCTTAATTTCTCAATTTTGAAACATTTCAATATGTGAACAATTTTGATTGATGTCAATTTCAAACATGAAAATAAATGGTGGGGATTGACCTACATTTCCCCCCAACAAAATCACCTCCAAATTAAAAAGCTACGAAAACTTTGTTTGTTTCACTTTCAAAAACAATAACAATAGAAATTCCATGACTGCCCTACATACGAAATTTCACTTTCGATTTTGCCCCAGTAAATTCCTCGTACATACAGGGACATTTTCTAAACCTAATACACCTACAATGATTACTGGATTAGCACACAGGTGAACGATTGCAAGCCTTAAACCAAGTCTGCAGACTGGATCCCGAGCACCGTCGGCCTGCGAGTCCATCTCTCGGGTTTTAATTCCCCTTGTATTCGGAGGAACAGAGTGCCTTTCAGCAAACGCTTCACTGCCTTCCTGTGTAAATTCGTAAAAGAATTTCGGCTACTGTATGGTATAAAAGAAATTTAAACGTCCATTCATGTAGAGCAGACTTAGTGTTTATCTAGTTTCCATCATATTTATGACCGTATACAAAAGAATCGGGGCCAAACGTCATATCGCGTACAACGATAGTTAAGTCACGGACACTACATGGTTTTCTGAAAGAATTTCCTTAAACTGATGTTTATCTCGATCGTAAATATATAAACATACGAGAAAATCTCAATGAGATGGGTTATAAGTTAATTGTTCCGACTGGTCCGTACGAACTCGTCCGGTGTCTAACGTTACTGTATTTTCACGGAGATGTCTTTTCTCATAACGATAAAAGATTTGTACGGGTGATATGCAAATTAGTCATTGACAATCATAATATTTACTATAAAAACACTACAAATAATCTTGGAATTAATTGAGAGGTCTTTCCAAGAGGTCAAATGGTCCTGCATGCATTTCATATTTACATGCTATAAATTAGCCATCATGTATACTGTAAAATGAAAACAAGATGCCCCAAGGGTGTGTATCATTAACCTAGCTGTTATTCATTGTGTTGAAAATATCTTTTTTAAAGAAATTTGTTGTATGCATATTTCGGAAATAAATGGATGGCCATGGACAGACACAGAAAATATACATTCCATACACCAACCTCTATGTAGTGAAACCTGTCTAAACAGAGACCAACAATTTCGTCACATCGTTGTACAGGTTAAACAATACAAATCGCTCTCTCAAGTCATATAGCTTGACAAAGGGACCGATCTTGAAATGTTGTGACATGTTTAATACGTACCTTGTTTGTGTATAAAGTAAAACTTTGATATTACATATTTCCTAACTGATGAATCTTATTTAACATATGAAACCAACAAGCATCACCGTTTAGAGTAAGAATAGACAGATTTTTGCATTCATCTGTCGAAATTGAAATCAACATTAGCATCACGATTTAGAGCAAGAATCAACATATTTTTGCATTTAACTATCTAACTTGAAACCAACATTGGCATCACGAATTAGAGTAAAAATCAACAAATTTTTGACATGCATTCAACTGTCTAATCTGAAATCAATACATAACAAGCACCAAAATTTAGAAGTAAGAATCAGTAAATTTTCAGATTTTTCATATTCAATTTAACCCTATCACCACTATAGACCATAATGGACTAATCCAGATCAATGTATGGTAGAGTCTACTAACGTTACCTAGGGGTGGAAGGGTTAAGCAGATTTTTTTTATAGTTATACAGGTTTCCAAATTATTTAGTGTATGGTTTGGACCATTACTGTTGAGTTGCAATTCGGCATCACAGTTGTTCTGTATTGAGTTAGAACATAACTCTATATAATTAATGTATTTCCTTTATGGTACATGTGTGTCCAGTTTGACCCCTTGTCCCGTTTTGACCCCGTCTTATTTACTGTCATAGTGACAGGCGACGACAGGTGCAAATGTGAGGTCATCATTAGGTGAAAATAAGGTGCTCAAGTGTCCCGATGACCGTCTGTCGCCTGCAGGCGCCCAGGTACGGTAACGACAAGTCAACCACGGACTGTCCACTTTCAAACATGCTGCATGTCTTACCTGTGTTCTACTAATTACAGGTGCAAACTGTTGGACCTGTCACACCTATATGTTGATGTACAGGTTTTTTCTGCTCTTTAAACCCCTACCTTTATAAATAGTAAGAAATCAATTAGAAGTGTTCATTTACTAATACTCCAAGCTTTTTATCATCCAATACCCTACAATTTTTTTTTTATCTGTATATAAACATTCATCGGGATATCGCAAGACAAAGGTCTTCATACAACATTTGGGGCCAAATCTTGGGCCAATTTTCGATGATATTTATAGGCATTTCATCATTATGAAATCAAGGAGAGTGTTTTTTTTAGACAGGTTTTTATAGCAGAAGGTGTCCTTTATATACAGTAAAACTTGTTAATAACTGATACCCATGGCATCATAAAATTGTCCTTTATAGAAAGGTTTATTAATAGAAAGTGTCCTTTATATACAGTAAAACTTGTTAATAACTGATACCCATGACATCATAAAAGTGTCCTTTATAGAGAGGTTTTCTTAATAGAAAGTGTCCTTTATATACAGTAAAACTTGTTAACAATTGATATTCATCATACCATGAACTTTTCCTTTATAGCCAGTTTTTTTTAACAGAAGGTGTTCTTTATTCACAGTAAAACCTGTTCATTATAACTTAATTTACCAATATTGATTTGTGCCAAAAATG